GAACACACACACACACACACACACACACACACACACACACGACAAAGCATAGAGTATCATTAAAAAGTGAGAGAGAACTTTTATCAATCAGGATCCAGTTAGAAACACTGCAATATTAATATTCTTTTTTAAAGTGGCAAAGGCACATTTTAGAACATATTAATTAAAAAAAATAATACAGGCCCTGACTGGTTTGGCTCAGTGGATAGAGCGTCGGCCTGCGAACTGAAAGGTCCCAACTTCGATTCCGGTCGAGGGCATGTACCTTGGTTGTGGGCACATCCCCAATGGGGGGGTGCAGGAGACAGATCGATGTTTCTCTCTCATCGATGTTTCTAACTCTCTATCCCTCTCCCTTCCTCTCTGTGAAAAATCAATAAAATATATTTAAAAAAACAAAAACAAACAAAAGACATAGGGTAGCTGAATGAATAAGAAAACATGACCAATATATTTGCTTTCTTCAAGAAACCCACCTCAGAACAAAGGACCCACACAGACTGATAGTGAAGGGATGGGAAAAAAATTCTTCAGACAAATGGAAGTGAAAAAAAAAAGCTGGGGTAACAATACTAATATCTGACAAAATAGACCTCAAAGTGTAGCCCCTAAAATTCAACAGTAGGCTGTAACTTTAGTAAAACATATATGCACCCAATACAGGAGCACCCAAATACATTTAAAAAAAACACAAACAAAACAAAACAAAAAAACAGGAAGAAGATATCAAGGGAGAGATCAACAGCAATACAATCATAGTAGGGGACTTTAATACTCCATTGACACCGCTGGATAAATCTGAACAAAAACGCTGGATAAATCCACTGAACAAAAAATCAGCAAAGAAACAGCAATCCTAAATGACTCACTAGATCAGATGGAATTAATTGACATCTTTAAAATATTTCACCACAAAGCTACAGAATATACATTCTTCTCAAGTGCACATTGGACATTTTCAAAGACAGACCACATATTTGGACACAGGCAACGTCTCTTCAAATTCAAAATGATAGAAATCAGATAAAGCATCTTCACAGATAACAATAGCATAAAATTAGAAATCAAATACAATAAAAACAATGAAAAAAAAGTCAAACACATGGTGGCTAAATAGAATGCTATTAAACAATGATTGGCTTACCAAAGAAATCAAAGAGGAAATAAGCATCCTGGTAACAAATGACAATTAAAAGACAAAAATACAAAATTTATGGAACACAGCGAAAGTAGTCCTGAGAGGGAAGTTCATAGCTCTACAAGCCTACATTGAAACAAGAAAAAGTGGTAATAAATTATCTAACCCTACAACTTAAAGAATTAGAAAAAAAAGCAACAAGAGCCAAGAGTAAAGAGAAGGAAGGAAACAATAAAGAATAGAGCAGAAATAAATAACATAGAGAATTTTAAAAAATCAATTAAACCAAGAGCTGGATCTTTGAAAAGATACGTAAGATTGATGAACCATTAGCCAGACTCAACAAGAAACAAAGAGAAAAGACCAAAATAAAGAAATTTAGAAACAAGAGTGGAGAAGTAACCACTAACACCACAGAAATACAAAGGATTGTAAGATTATACTATGAACAACTATATGTCAACAAGTTGGACAATGTGGATGAAATGGACAAATTCCTAAAAAAAAAAAAAAAAAATTAAAAGCCTTTCTTTTTTGCAAGACAACAGAAACTTCCATACTATTTCCCAAGGAATTTAAAAAGACAGCACTATTTCAATAGATTCGTTGATAATGTTTCCTCATATCAACTGTCAGATAACACAAACCTTTGTGCCAACGAGCATTTTTCAGTTATAACGCACTACTAATAAGTGATAAATAATGTCACACATTAACACACCTATCCCATTCATCCCTTGTCCTCCTTTAAACTCAAAAGAGCTTTAAGGCAAACAAAAAAGAGGCAAAGTTTGCCTTCACATAAGGCAGAGGTAAAGCTAAAAGTAAACTAAAGTTAGGTTTACCTTTATATAGGGCAGCACTTGATTCATAATTATGGTCTCTCTACCTTCAATGGGCAAGTTCTCACAAAGTTCTAAAAGAGATAAATAGAAAAAAAATAATGCTTACATAGAACCATTTACAAGGAGCCAAATGAAGAAATTTAACCAGTTATATCAAGTTTCAAGTTAACTCAAATCATATGTTAAGCAAAAAATCTCTAAGAAGTGACCCTTGTTCTAAATACACTTTTTTGTCAATCTAGATGGCACTGTGTATCACACTAATCCAACGTGAAAAGGCATTAAAAAAAAATAGAAACAAGGTAAAATGGCTGTTTGGTTTTAACTTACATGATAATGTAACATTTCTATACAATAAAATCATCTCTATTTATTTGAAAACATATTCTAGAACAAAAATCATAAAAATTCACTGACATAAAAAAAATGCACCAAAATAAACAAGCCATCCTGCAACATAAACTGAACTCCTTAACCTTTCACTTTGTGGGCAGCAGCCGCTCGGACTTCAGCTTCACAGTCTTTAAGTAGGTTCTGAAAGGCGGGGATGAGGTCATTTTGGGTGATTTTGGGACCCACAGCTTTCTGGAGCTATAAAATAATATGTACAGGTTTAAATGCAAACTAACAAAATAATTAATATGAAAACACAAAACAGCACAACTTCAGGTATACATTTTTGCCACAAACACTTCTGATTCATAAGAATTCAGAGACTTTTGGTACCACAGCAAACTTGTGGGTTTCTTGTTTCTATTTTTCTTTAGTACTTAAAGAAAATACCAGTGCAATAATTTTACCTCTGAAAATTTGTCAGCTACCATATAGCGAACTCGCCAAGATTTATCTTCTGCAGCTTGTCGAAGTGTAGGCATCACCAAAAACTCAAGGTCATCCTGAGACAGTAACTGGGCAATACTGACACAAGCTTCCACAGCTAGGAGGCGCACTGAATCCTAAAGGAATAAAATTTATTTCTTTTAGACAATATTTACTGACAGTCAAAGTATATGGTGTGGGGGTGTGCTCTGAGTGTCATTTCAAAAAAAAACAGAAGCAAACCAACAATACCAGCGGTTGCCAACCGGTGGTCCGTGGACCAAATGAAACTAGACTACCAACTTACACCATACACAAAAATAAACTCAAAATGGATAAAGGGCTTAAACATAAGACAGGAAACCATAAAAAATCTTAGAAGAAGCCATAGGCAGCAAAATATCAGACATATGTTGTAGCAATATCTTCACTGATACAGCTCCTAGAGCAATGATAACTAAGGAGAAAATAAACAAATGGACTACATCAAAATAAAAAGCTTATGCACAGCAAAAGAAACCATTGACAAAACAATAAGAAAGCCCACTGCATGGGAGAACATATTTGCCAATGTTATCTCAGATAAGGGTTTAATCTCCAAAATTACAGGGAACTCACACATCTTAACAAAAGGAAAATAAACAATCCAATCAAAAAATGGGCTAAGGACGTAAATAGACACTTTTTGAAAGAAGACATACAGAAGGCCAAGAGATATATGAAAACATGCTCAAAGTCACTAAGCACCCAAGAGATGCAAATCAACATGACAATGAGGTACCATCTCACACCTGTCAGAATGGCTATCATCAATAAATCAACAAACGACAAGTGCTGGTGAGGATGCAGAGAAAAAGGAACCTTCCTTCACTGCTGGTGGAAATGCAGACTGGTACAGCCAGTATGGTAGACATTATGGAGTTTCTTCGAAAAGTTAATAATGGAACTCCCATTTGATCCAGTAATCCCACTTCTAGGACTATATCCCAAGAAACCAGAACACCAATCAGAAATGACATATGCACCCCTATGTTCATAGCAGCACAATTTACAATAGCCAAGATTTGGAAACAGCCTAAGTGCCCATCAGCAGATGAGTGGATTAAAAAACTGTGGTACATCTACACAATGGAATACTACACTGCTGTAAAAAGGAAGGAACTTCTACCATTTGCAACAGCATGGGTAAAACTGGAGAATGGAATACTATGCTGCGGTAAAAAAGAAGGAATTCTTACCATTTGCAACAGCATGGGTAAAACTGGAGAACATTATGCTAAGTGAAATAAGCCAGTTAGTGAAAGATAAATATCACATGATCTCACTCATTTGTGGAATATAATGAACAACATAAATTGATGAACAAAAATAGATCCAACAACAGAGAAACACCTAACAGACAGTCAAACCTCAGAGGAAAGGCAGGGGATGGTGGGGAGGGGTGAGAGACCAACCAAAGGACTCGTATGCATGCAATATTAGCATAACCCCGTGGTCGGCAAACTGTGGCTCGCGAGCCACATGTGGCTTTTTGTCCCTTGAGTGGCTCTTCCTAAGCCTTAGGAGTACCCTAATGAAGTTAATAACAATGTACCTACCTATATAGTTTAAGTTTAAAAAATTTGGCTCTCAAAAGAAATTTCAATGGTTGTACTGTTGATATTTGGCTCTGTTGATTAATGAGTTTGCCGACCACTGGCATAACCTATAGACACTGACACTGGGGCGGTGAGGGATTGTCCTGGGAGTTGGGAGTGGCTGGGCAGGGGAAGGGCGGAAAAGGGAGATACATGTAATACTTGAAACAATAAAAATAGTCTATGGGTATCATAGACCTCATTTTTTTTTTGCCTTGACTATGAATATACAAAAGGATGAGTGGCAAAGAATAAATTTTCTTTTAAGCTGTGAAAATTTTATATGTACAGGCAAATTTTTGGAGTGCAGTTTCATAATTAGATTTAATAATACATCATTAGTTAATATCTTCATAGTGAAGAGATATTGCTTCCTCTGAAAGACTCCAATCACATAATATATTTGTAATATCTTAAAAGCCTTAGTTACCAAAGACTCTGCAGTAAGTCGTTTGATTGAAAGATAAAAGGAATTTCTTAAATCAAGAGAAATTAGAAAATGCAAGTGGATATATGAATAGTTTCAAAACACTGTATAAAAGAAGAGGAAGATATCTCCTGTGAGAAAGCTGGAAAACTCATTTAGCAATAGTAGGTCCAATGTAATTGTTAAAGCCAAAGAGTGATAGTTACGTGTTTATATTTCTTTTCAAAGTCTTCTGTATACATTTCTGCTTTACCTATAAAGTATACTAGGTAAATAAAAAAGGTCTGGAGAAAATTTGGAATATTATATACAATTTCTCAATCCTCTCATTATATAAGCTCCATCAGAAATATCCCTAATCAGGTGTAATGGTGTATGTGTGTGTGTGTGTGTGTTGGTGTGCATGTGCCTCATTGCATAGTTTGAGCTATCAGAACTGTGGATATGAATGTGATATCAAAAAAATCCTACTTTTATTAAATGACTACAGTTCACAAAAAGTAAGATAAAATCTTTTAAAGTCCCATAATTGCCTTAATATTTAGAATTAAAACACTACATTTTTTGAGTTGCGGGAAAAGGTGATGATTTAAATATTTTAATGGTTTCTGTTTATTTTTAAGTTATTTTACAATTTTTATTTACCTTATTATCTATTTAGTCTTTAAAGCTAAAACACTATTGATATACTAAAATCTGAAGGCAAAATCATAAAAAATTATATATCCTTTATAAGTATTATACACAGACTATGTTGGTATCATCCTATATAATAAAAGGCTAATATGCAAATAGACCAAAGGGTGGAACAAACCAAACAATCCGTTGCTATGACATATGCTGACCACCAAGGGGCGCACGTGGAACATGGCAGGTGTCGGCCACAGTCGGATGGTGGAGCAGGTGAGCAGGGGTGCTAGACCAAGGTGTGGCACCAGTTGCTGTCATCGGGGAAAGCTCTGGTGGTTACTGAAAATTCTTTGCTCCCTCGCGCCACAGTCCCACCTGGCGCTTGCACCTGTTGCCGGTGCTGGCCCCACTCACCCGCAGCTGGTGCCAGAGCTGCTGCTCACACCCATAGCCAGTGTCGGAGCTGCTGCTCACAACTGCTGCTGGCACCCAGCGCTGGTCCCAATTGGTTGGCTCCATCAGTGGGTGTGAGTGGGGCCAGTGCCATCAGCAAGTGGGAGCGGCGGTGGTGGGAGGGGGGCTGCCGGCAGACAGGGGACCAGGGGTCACGCCTGGAGGGGCCAGGTGGGGGTATGGAGGATGGGCTGAGTCCCGCCCCTGTGCCCACTGCAATCTTGCGGCCCACAGTTCCTTTCAAGGTGCACGAATTCGTGCACTGGGCCCCCAGTATAGTATAAAATGCTAAAATGTTTAGGTCAGGGGTCCTCAAACTACAGCCTTTAAGAGCTTAAAATAAAAATATATTATTTAACGACCTTTAAATGCAATTATGTATAGAAGTACTGTTTTGTTGTTCTTATTCTTTATTAGAACTCTTCATTATCTAACTTGATTGGCAAAGCTAGATGAGTTCTCAAATCAACGTTCTTAGTGGCATTCTGTACTTCACTCCTGACCTTCTCCCCAACATTTTGACTTTAAAAAAATCAAATTGGGTTTTTTACAATAATATTCATGCTATACAGCGTCTCATTGGATGAAAAAAAAATAAACTTTTTAATAATTCTGTCACCCAAGTGTTCAGTCACAGCTTCTACTGTTAGGTTTTAAGCTTTAAGCTTGCACATAAGTACAAAAAGACAGCAAATTAACTCAGGAGGCAAGGCTGGATCAAAATCATAATTATGGAGAAGACGTAGGAGGGAAGTGGTGTCAAAGGTCTATACATAGTAACAACAATATTTGTGGAGAGAATGAATAAGAGAATGATTTAAGAGTTTGAAAGAGGCCAATTGATAAATGACTGACAGTGAGTGAGAGGAAGCTATCAATAGCCCTTAGTTCTTGGGGACAGCATGACTCTTGGATTCGTTCTGTCATCACTAAAATAGTACTCAAAGCAAGAGATGGTTGAGAAAAAGAGAAGTTCATTTTAGACAAGTTGAATTTGAGTATTTTATCTTCCTCTTCTAAGTCTCCAGAATAAATCAAATTACCCAACTTACTTCAAGCTCATATTAAGCTTCTTGACTGCCAATAGCGTGAATATGGTAAATGAGTTATTTTAAATCATCTCTAAAGATGGCTGCTTAAATCACTTGTGGGTGAATCTGTTAACCTTTTTCTTTTCCCTCACAAAAACTGCCCAGGATTTCTTATATTCTCTTTATTCAAATGAGAGAAACACCTTTTGGAAGCAAAGGTAGAAAAATAACATTTCTTTTTCCTTCTTCCTTCCCTCCTGTGCTGGCTGGGTGGTTCAGTTGGTTGGAGCATTGTGCCATACACCAAGAGGTTGCGGGTTCCATGCTGGATTAATTAACTCCTCAAAAATATTTTACTTTCTTATAATTTAAGTCTCAAATATTTTTCAAAATTCTTAAAGATTAAATTTCTTTACATGTTCTACAATATTCAGCATAATACCCCCTTCTTCCCTCCCCAACCTCATGTTTAAATACACTTTAATTTCAAAGCAGTGTTAGATTTACTGAAAAGCAATAAAGACAGTACAGAGTTCTCCATATAGGTCACACCCAGTTTCCCTTATTGTTAATACCTTACATCGGAGTGTTACCTTTGGGATACTGATGCATTATTATTAACTAAAGTTTGTACAAGGTGAAATAAAATGGAGTCATTCATGTCAAAGGTTTTAAAATGAAGCTGGGAGGCCATTTAGGAGCTGGACCTCAGGCACATCCTCACCTGGTGGAAACAGGAATTTGTGAACTGGGCCAAACCACAAATAGTCCAAGGACTTGGCAAAGGACAGTTGGCTCAGTGATGGCCTTAGCAATCACAAATTAAAACTCTTAGTAAACAAGTTTGGTTTTGTTTTCCCTTTTATAAACTCCAAACCGAACACTATTTGGATTTCTGCCCAAATCTCTATACACTTAAATGCTAATGATCCCAAATAAGTGTTTTTACTTGATTATTGCCTCCTGCTAATTTTAGGTTAACAAGTTT